CGTGAATTAAGTTTTCTCACGCCCGAGGAATATCACGGATTTTAACTAATCACGCAGCGAGAATTGGAGCGCTCGCGAGACTATATTATATGTCAGAATATTTCACTCCTCGCGGACCGAAACTCGCTCGTTGAATTTTCCCCTTTCGTTGTAATGGACGGCAATTTCAGTGCAACGTACGTCGTATGCTTCGACTTTAAAAATAGACTTTCTCCGCGGGCTGTATATTAAAATAGCTCTCTTATTCCTTCCGTCCTCGTTGCACCTCCACCTCTTCACGTATGCGGATATATATACGTTCCCGCGCAAACAAGCCAACGAATCGATACTTCTCAATAGTGCACACGTGAATTGCTCAGCGCGTGAATTGATCTCACCCGCGGAAGCAGACACTTTGTGCAACAACGTACATAGGATACGATAAACGCTAACGCAACGTGTTCAGACGCGTGTGAATGTTAAAGTAAGTTTAGGATTAATCCTTAAAAGCTCTCGGTTATTCCTCCTGCCTATTCTCGATCGTTTCTCAGAGAAAGATTGATCCAACAGCTCCGATGGCAATTTTCACCGCTTTTACGTTTTGCAATTTAACGTAATTTTGATTGTAGAAAAAATTTTTCGTGGTTTTCTGAAAGTTTAAAGAGCTGAGTATATTATTATCTCATATACAAAAAACAACAAATATATAAGAAATAGTTTTAGATTTTTTAGAACTTTGAAATGTGTAACGTGATAATTTGTCAGATATGAATTGATTGACTTCCGTCGGAAGTATAAACGCGTCGCAAAATTTGTTTATTATCTTCTGCGACAACCCCCCGCGTGCGCGCGCGCAAAAGACACGACGCGCCGCTAATCGTATTGTACAATTTCACGCCCTCGGAACGGCCATAACAATAGCGTTGGTCCCCCGATAGGTGCGTTATTACGATTCTCGCGATCGTGACACGCCGCCAGTGCACACCGCCAGTGCGATCCGCTCATTACGTTTCATTTGTCCGGTGCCACGAGCGCCATTTACGCATGGTAGGCATCATTAACCCTTTTAGCGCCGGATGAGTGAGCCATCGATCGTATACGCATGCACCATACGTAGGTGCCGTACGTCATGGGTACACACGTACCAGGGACGATCTCGGGAACAAAGAGCCTGAGATTTGGGCCGTTCTGACGGAACCCTCTTGGATCTTGTTTTAAATTTGTTTTGTTGAAATTTGTTTTATTGAAAATGTATAATCAATTCAATTCTGAAAATATAGTCGCCGAATTTTTTTTGAGATCATACACAGGTTCGTATTGCGGCAAATCACAAAGTAAGACCAGTATCATTTTTTTGCAAATTGAGATTTATAATGTCGGTAAATAGAGAAGAATATATTTCTACGTTCGTATAGAATCTCATAAAAAATTGTTATACGTTTTCTACTGCCACACACGTGCACAGTCAACGGGATATTAATTTTCGTTGCGCTTATTAATTAGATATATATATATAATGCGCGTGTCGAGAGAGAATTAAACGATATCGAAATTATATAATGACTTTGATCCCTGCATGATCGGTCCAATTGGTAATACACCCGTTCTCCTGAATGTGAGCACGTTCATGCATATCGACGTATTCGAATACGTGCACACGCTAGAGCACGTTCTCGAGAGGGAAATAAGCGACGGAGCGCGTCTCGTTTCGCGTGCCTTAGAAGCAGCTTCCTGCGTCGTCGTCGTCGACGCGACCGTTTCAATGCGATCCATATACCCGTCAGGTTCACGCAGACAATCTCGGAACCAAGACGCGGCGTTTTTCTTTTCAGAATACGCCCGAGCGATTTACTCTTATACTCCGCCCGACGCGACGCCTTGCGCGATTTAAGAGCTGCCGATACGGCAACGCGTGAAAACGATAACCTGATGCAAGAGAAATTTCACAGAAGACCGATCATAAATCCCCCCTCGATAGCATTCGGTCGAAAATCAATATGCGTATTATTCGCCAATTGAAGCTGCTTCCTCCCGAGTTACGCGAGGAAGAGATTTTTTTTTTTTTTCCGGCATTTGCACACCTTTCCCGAGCTTTCTTGATTCAATAGTGGGGTTTTTTGTTCTCGAAGTAAGACACTCACACTTTATTTTCCATGTTATATAGTTTATGACAAAATAAGATAAGAATTTCTTTAATTAATCAGACGTTTATCGTGAAAATCGAATTGATGAAACAAACTTCTTGTGTGATTTTAGTTACAAGAAGTTTTTTAATTTTTATATTTCTTTTTATATATCATCCCTATCTCAAAGCTGCTTTTTTATTATTAAAATTGACTTTTAACATATATAAAATATATATGTTCTTTTGCTTGCCTTACTTCTGTTTTCTTCAATCGACCTGACATCTGTTTCTACCGGCGAAAAGATGGTGCTTTGAGAGAGGAAGACGTGTCGGCAACACACACACTTTCTCTTCCATGTTTTAAAAATCTAAAACTAAACATATATAAATGCATTTATTTTTATATTAGTAATATGTTACAATATATTTCGTTATTTATTGTACAATTTAGTTATATCACAATTTTGTTTTGTAGCAAAACCATGTGCAAAATTTTATGAATCGATTATTTAGAATGAATTCTCATTTGATTTTAATCACTTCCCACGAGATGGCACTCTTCTCCCTAAATAAACTCATTCTATAAAAATTAATTACATTGTATTTGCTGTTATACAACGATTGTTACGTATATTATTTTCTGTCAAACCAAAATTTTATTGACTACTAAATGATAATCAGCCAGGTGGTTTGTTTTCTCGAGCTCTTGTTCCAAAAAGTAACAGACGCAAAATACAAAATATAACAAAACATCTTATAGAATATAAATAAACTTTAAAAATCAACAAAAAGAATTTTTACTCGTTCGTTGTCAGCGAAAATAAATCACTCAAGGTTTCAACTTCACATGTTAATGATTTATTAACTTAGTTTCACATACAATAGTATTATGCGTGAACGATCAAACATTGTATAAACAAAAAATTTACAAAATAAAGTATAAGTCTTTACAGCTAAAAGCTACTTAGTAGGAGTGGATCACATAGCTTCATACTTTTTCCTCGGATCCAGCAAATATTGCTTCCCGAGACTATCTTCTTTTCTTCTCTTACTTTTTATGTTTCTATCTCTCGTGTATGTATGTATATATATACATACATACATATATATGTATATATATGCATTTATATATATGTGTATTTATATTTATATATACTTTATATATATATATATTCATATTTATATATTTATAATATTTATATATATATAAATATTATGCCAAATATATTATATTAAATAAGGTAGCATCTGCTAATTTGTCCTAGCATGGAATTCGGGTGTAGGAAAGGGGAGACCTCGGAGGGGGGAGTTTCATCATACATATGTATATTACATTCATTTAGATTTAACGACTTCTCTGTTTCTCTTTCTCTCGCTCTCTCTCGCTCTCTTTCTCTCTCTCTCTCTCTCTCTTTTCTCCTTTTTCTCTATCTTGTAAATATAAAATTATTATCTCTTGAAGAATTGTGTGTGCAATAACCACTGACAATTGATATAATACGCGTAAATAGCTATGTTATCTGCAGTATAATATATCCGTATTGTACATATCGAGAGTGCAATCGGTTTCTTTTTCCAAAATTTTTACTAACCGGCAAAAAATTCGATCGCGATAAGCAGGTTTGTCTCTAAAGTAAATCAGTTTCTCGTCTCTTAGCTTTTTGTTTTTTTTTTCTTGGTGCCACTTGCGATCGCTTTCATTTTCGCTAACTAGGATTCCGTTTTTTCTCTGCCTATTTCTTCGGCCTTTTTTTTTGTCTCGATTTGCACACGTATATTCTTCCGTCAATATACAATGTCACACTCGCGCTGTACATTCCGTTAAAGGGGCCACAATTGGTTTGCACCTTCGTTTTGCTTCGTTATATCTCTCTCAAAACACAACAAGCGAACGAAACCGCTCCATAAACATTCTCTATTTTTGATAAATAATAATAGCAATAAATATCTGCCGAAAACCTCGTGAATCTCACTCACGCTTCAATAACTATCGGTATATAATTTTCCAAAAAGATTCTTCAAACACACACACACACACACACACACATTTTACACACGCGCACTTTATAATCATCCGTCCGATCAAAACTATCAACTATATCTCTCTTTACGTTGTATCGTAATTTTTCGTGCAGTCGGAGTGACAGAACGCATGTAATTTTCTACGATGTGTGTAGGCCCTTTGTTAAAAATTATATATGCTGTCGAGCTGACTGAGCCATCGGGAAAGAAGTTCGCTCGTATCTATTTATTTTTGCTTGAAATAATGTTGCAAAACCAAATGTGTTTTATGAAATAATATAATAATAATTTATAATTATATAACGCGCAAACAGAATAACTAGAATATATCAGGAGCTTCTTCTATTTTTACTTTCAATACGATGTTGTATAAAAATGTGGCATGTATCAAGCATGCTCTTATTTACTTACTTCAACAACCCGTATAATGAATTGTTCTTATAAAATAGTACTTTTTTTTTTTTTATAAATTATTATGTATTAGAGTATAGGTATTTCTTCGTAATATGTTTTTTGTCACAACATTTTAAATCATTAAAAGCCACAATTTTTCGCTGTTTTGATGGTAGTGCTTTATTTATTACTTTACTTAATATCGTTCGCGCTCGACAGCTCGTGTGTTATAATAATTAAGTAATTAATATCATCATTCGCCGACCTTCGCGTTTACAACATTAAACAATTCGTGTTCGTCGACTGCCTATATCGCACAGCGTGATTACCAGTAAGGCGCGTATATATATGTATATCTATTTACAATATCATGGAAAATATACAAAGGACATCGGCACTACAGTATATACTCTCGATTCTTTTCAAGACGTTTGATTTTTGCGTATGTGTCACTGAGGTAAGTTTTTTCACTGTTGTGTTGGTTTTTTTTTTTAAGCTATGATCACCCACACGCTTCTTCTCGTATTGAATGCGAGAGAGCGCAGAGACAAGTATATTCTCGGCAAGCTGATTTTTATATTCGATTCCAAAGAAGAAAAACTAGCAAAGATCTACGTTGAGGGCCGCTTTTGCAAAAGTCACAAAGTTCGCAACAGTAAAATCTTTCAGAAAAAAACACATCTTACGATTATCCCGGCTCATTTATTTATTTATCAGAGGAATAGTGATCGCGTGGGTAAACCTTTGCGTTACGTGTCAATACAAAATAGTCTCGTGCACACTTTAAGTGTATTTTTTGTTTTTTTTGTTAGGTTTAATTTAGTCAAATTTTTTTAAATTTCTGTGTGTCGAGATTCTCATAAAAAACGACCCTCAAGTGCTCCGAGTTGTTTGTTAAAGTTGGAGCTACAAATTAAATTTAGAAATATCTTAATGTTAAACGGTCCCGTATATGTGTGTGTGTACAGCAATGCCAGCCAGTTTACGTATTCTTAAAAATGTTTGTATCTTACTTCTTTATTTATGTTTTTTTTTTCGCACAGCATGCTTTTACCGAAAACATGTGGATTTTGAAAAATTGTCGTTCGCGACCGGTGATATGTCTTTCGCCATTTATCAAATAAAACGTGTCGCGTCGCAATGCAACGCGTTCTTGGTCACGATTAAATGCTACGAATCGTATCGCGGAGAAACAAGAATTCCCCACTGTCGAAGACTTATTTGTGAGACTTAGCGAGTAATATGTGATATCGCGAGCGCTTTTTGATTTACTTTGATATAATTGTCGTCAGAGACGGGAAACGTGCTCGCAAAATCCCCATGAGATTTGTATGAAAATGGCCTAAGTCACAATCGCGGAAAAATTGTGTTACTTATAGTTTTTTTTATTTATTTATTTATTTTTTTTTTTTAAAGCTTGGTTCTTTAAGTCTTTTGTGTCATTTTACAGCGTTACGTCGAGGAAAGAAAAATATATCAAGCAAAAGTAATAGACATGACTCAGACAATACTTTCCGCTTTGCGAAAACGTAGACCTATTGATTTTGTTGGCGGAAAAACTTTTTGTGAAAAGTTTGTGGTTTCTCGCGGATATATATATATATATACGGTGACGTCAAGCAGTTATATATTTTTTTTTTTTGTTTTTGATATAGAACAGCTTTCTGATTTAATCTCAGCAGTAAATTTAAGTTTGAGATGTGCGCGCGCGTTTCTGCGAGTAATACAATAATGTATCCATACACACGTTACTCACATTGGCTTTTCTTAAATCTGTATTTGTTATTTTACGACAGTTTATTTACGACAGTTATTATCAGTTGACGTATTTACAGATGTAATGTACCATTAAAATATATATGTGTGTGAGGACCCGTTTTTTTTTCTTTTTTTTTTTTTATAATTAAGCATTGTGCAAATACAATTGCAACGTTTGATGTTTGACAACATCGATCAGAATTTAGAATGCACGCGTGCACACATTGCAAAATCAAAGTCACGAGTCGCAGGAAACGTGAATACAAAATCGCGCGAGAGTTCTGTTTTTTGTTTTTGATACTTGCATCTTATTGTCTATCATACGTTTTAGAACGCGCCGCGCAATTAACTTGATAATTGTAAATAATTGTAAATGCGCTCACTCAATAGTTTGTTGTTTCACAAATTCATTATTTGTCGATAAAAAAATACTACTATTTTTTTTTTTACACATTAAGTATGTTGTATTCTAGCAAGTGCAATCTCGCGTATGAATTTATTTGAAAAAGAGAAAAATGGAGTTCGCGTCGAATTCTGTAATAATCAAGAAACGACAGAAAATGTTTAGAAAAAAAAAAACCATGTTTGTTGCGAGCAATTTCACAAATGAGAGAAAACGCGTTTGTTTTGGTTACGTTTTACGTACTAAAATGTGAATTTTTTATTGTTTCGAAAATCTAAAAATTTTTGTTGTTATCTCTGCGAAAACTGAATCAATTTAAAACAATGTTAACGATGAATTGCTCGCGTGTGCTTGTTAAAAATTCCCGAGCGCCGCTCTCTCCGCAGCAGTCTCTTTCGATTGCTGTGTGCTACTGTATATAAAATTGATTCGTGAATTATTCAGTCGCAGCGTGTTCCGGAATTACGTCATTCGAGGAACATCGTTAAAAAAAAAAAAAAAACCCCTCACGATCACTCGGTTTCTCTAAAACGTCCTGCGGACGTATGTACATATGTAGATTTAAAACGGTTCAACGAGTCTCTGCGGCGCGACTTCGTCACGATAAAAACAATGATTCATCTTAGATGTATAGCTCTCTAAAACAATGCTTTTACTCTCTATGTGAGGAGGAAGAGGGAAGAGGAGGGGAAGGATAGTGTAATGAAGATTTGTTTGCAAAAATATCTTTTTAAACCTATACACGTCTGCTTAATACGATTGCACGAATATGTGTGTGGGCGAGTTACTTATTTTTCTCAGAAAACGTCTACGTTTTTCTTTAATTGTACGTGTAAATCGTAAAAATGTCGCATAACAAATAAGGGAGAGATCGTATAATGTACATTATATTATCGAAAGATCAAAGTCGAAACACTTTCTTTCGTGTTGTTGCTTCGGTAACGAAATCCGTGAAAGAATCAATCATTCTCGTCGAGTAAAACGAAACGCGCACAAGCGCCCTTTAAACACGATCAAATTTTATCTCCCATCGTAATTTTAATTTTTTATACATATGGATTATACATACATGTGTCTTAAATAATCTAAGAATGCATGCTGTAGTAGGCCTCTATTTTGATAAAATCGGCCGTAAATGTTTCTTGCATTTCGCTATCAGCTCATGCAATTGCAATTTTACATATTCGTTAAGAGGACATCGTTTTTTTTTTTTTTTTTTTTCGTAGCAAAACAAAAGAAACGAAGAGATATACTGCAAGTATTTTCTATTCGTTATTTAGGCTTCGTCGGTGAATTTACAAGAAACGGGAAACTGCTTGAAAAATGCCGCTGTGTTGTCATATGTGAGAGATTTGTTAATACAACTGTACATCGAAATTTTAAGCTTAAAGTAAGCTTAAAAAACAAGCTTTTTTTTTTTGATTATGTTATGTAGAGGCGCTTTTTTCACATACAATCATGCGATATTGCAAGCGTCTCGAAGCGTATTTTGGATAAAGTTTTATGAAAACTTTTTAACGTTTTATCGTCACGATTTGCTCAAAGAGATAAAAACCTTCGTGCCGATTCAGGAGAGAATCTTGACTCTGTTTGTATGAAGTTAAATCACAGCGATCGTCGAAGTAAGTTCAGTAAGTCGTGTCTTGAAGTGATTCGCAACACTTCATCTCGTTTCTGACATATTTAGCATACTCTATCGTAGAACCACAAATTATTTACTTTCTGCAGCAATTCTTTTAGGTAAAACAATTGTTGGATAATAACCGTGTCAGTTTTCCATTTTTTTATAATAATAAGAATAATAACAACAATACTAATAATAGTCGTGCGTGCTTGCAATCGCTGTTTGACGTCGCGATTGTACTAATTGCATTCGACTCGAAGCGAACGGAAGTGTATCAATAATTTATGGGAGAACGTATGTGAATTTATTAATAATTTATTTAACTGAGACAAAGAGCGCTCACTAATTACATATCTGCACAAAGATCTTTGAGACTTCGTGGCCCGTGATAAAAGTGTCGTTGTTCGATACGATGATCGTCGCACGCTAAACTATCGTGATCGACACGGATCACCGGTATTGTTTCTGTTCGGCTTTGGCATGGTCCGCGGTGGCTGCCACGATTCTCTTCGACGTTCTTTTGGTCTCCGTCTTGCTGACGCCCTTCGAGCTGGTTGCCGGTTGCAATGATGTTACTTTAGGCGACTTTTTTGCATCTTTCTGCTGCCTGGAGGCCTCCGTCATCTCGTCCAGTTCCGCCATCGCCTCTTGTATCGCGTTTTCCAATTGCATATTCAATTTACGACTTCTAGAAAAATATGGTAGGAAACGAGAAAATCGTACAGTTAATATCAGATGATACCGCGACCGATTATTCGGTCGATTAGGAGCAACATTTGAAAATCGCGGGTCTAGGAGCTAAAACACAATCGCGACTAGTAAGCTCTGTTTAAGCAAAGAATCGCAACAACCGGATTTGAACCGACAATCACTCAAATATTAATTTATCTCGATCCATTCGATATATTAATAAACTAATGATAATAAATGTTCTTTAAAAAAAAATTATACAAAGTAAAATATTAATATGTTACTTTAATATTTTCTCTAAAACGTAATCGTTAATCGCGTGTTATAGAAATTAGATTTTGTTTAAATATTTAATAATGCAGAATATAAAGAAAGGGAAATAAGAAGAAAGATGGCTGAGCTTGGAGCAGAATTACTTAACATATTAATGTTTCAGCGTGTACATAAAAACGTAATCACCAACTTCTTTGGCGAGTTAACGAGAAGGATATTGAACCGCAGCGTTGTGCAACATAAGATATGCGGGATAGATTTTTATAATTGGCTGTTGGTTGCTAATAAATGCTATACGATTACGATCGCCGACAGTTCTCGAACAAAAAAGAAAAAGAAGATATACTGTCATTATATTGTAGAAGCAAATTCTCACAAAGTTGAGAACTAAGACATAGATCTGGTTTTTTTTTTTGCTACTGCTGGTGTATTTTGTTTAATGCGATTAAAAGTAGAATATCTAGTGTTAAGTTAGAGCGGAGAGATCTGTGTCGTGTATAGCACTTATCACACACATACCCTTTATATAAATTTCTCTCTCACGAGAATAAACAATTAAGATGTAAAAGACTTTTAAACAACATTACATGCATTTAAGATAACTCTAGAAAGGCGATATAATGCAACTTCACTTTTCGACATTTAACACCGCTCATCGAAAGCGTAAAAACTTAACGTGTCTATATAACACAGAGTTCTAAGATCAAGTGCCGGACACGTGAGAGAAAGAATTTAGAAACGTAACACTCTCTTCCGCGTGTTCTGGTTTTCCCCTCGGGTGTTTCTTTTTTTTTTTTTTACTTTAAAGAAATATATTCGTTAAAGCGAGAGAAATCTCTAAAGGGGCTTTCGTCTTTCGATAGTTTCATCCCTGGTCGGGGTGGGTGACTCACTTCCTAAACTTTTTACGGGCACGATGATGCGCCTCGAGGCCTTCCGAGAGAGACTTGAGGGTCTTGACATCGACTTGGGTGCGACCGCCCCCGCCCCCGTACCATCGGACCCAAACTGTCATAGAACCCGGAGGACCCAAAGACTCGACTTTTCCCGGCCAGGCCGGACTTCCTCTTGCTGCGCCCCACACTAGTTCACCGACCATCAGTTTCCATTGGTTCCCGTCGTGTATGTCCTTTGTCTCGGCTACTGGGGGGGTTCCAAACAAGGCACGGTATTTTTAAGAGGTTCGTAATCTCAACCGCTTTCGCGAGATTGAACACAGAAATTAACATAAAAAAGCCCATCTCCCTAAAGATTTGTTATCGTGTACAACTGCAGATATATTAGATAGAAAATTCTCCGTGAAAAGAACGGAAACGATTGATAATCTTCAAGAAAGAAAAACGTAAAATAAGAGAATACTATAATTTTTTCATACTATTAAATTGTGAAATACTTTCTGATTAATAAATTAGTTACAAGTTTTTGTTTTTGCAAAGTTTAATCACTTTAAAAGAATGTGAGCTAAGTCTTTTTGTTATTTTGATTTATTTTGATATGTATATAATAATAGTATACACATTCAATTTTTTAAATTTTGTCTAAAAGATTGTCTAACATAATGCTTGAAATAATAATAATGTAACGTTTTTCAAAAACATTATATATATATATAAATCTTATATTGTTTATTACTTTTATTATACTGGTGTTACTCTTACTACTTTGCACTACGTAATTTCCATCTGATACATCTGTGTTTATTTTGATTAAAATGTGCAACGCAATAATAGCAAAACGTTCCGGTATGCTTATGGTGCATGTCGCAGAGGGGATGTTTGAAACTGATGGTTCTACTACTCATCAAGTAGTATTGCAACAATGTGCTTCTTGCTCGCATGTGTGTGCTCGTTAAAAATGATTAGTAGCTTCATTCAATGATGGTAGGCGAGTTTCAGAGGCAGAATGAAAATATCAGATGGTTCGAACACATGCAAATGATTTTTATTTTTGTTTGTTTGTTTGTTGACACATGTGATTACTTATTCCCTTCTCCACAGAGTTCACGTGTGAGACAAAAAATTACATTCTATTATATTTTACGGTAATTTGTTCTTTTTTATTTTTTTCCAATGTTTGAATATTTCATTACAGATAAAAATACAGATAATAGAGAAATAGAATAATTGCATTTATATCTCTCTGTTAACATGTTATAATTGTTTTCAATTGTATCTTCGAGACAAATTTCTGAAGAGCCTCAATTGTAGGGAATATGTACATGTTGTACATGGTAAAACATGAGAATGTGTATGTACAAGGTTCGTTGAAACAACACACGATAGTGAGCCACACCCCTTCCGAAATGAACGAATGATTCAAGCCCCTTGGCCACTCATTATGAGAATGTAATTGCGGGGGATAATGTAATGATATTAACAAACCTGACAGCCAATTAGTAAACGCAAAACAGGAATTTCCGAGAACATTATTTACAAATGTCGAAACAGTCATTTCTTTACTTCCGCAAGCGACGTCGAAGACTCGTATGTAATAAATGAAAGGGTTTTAGTACTGGCACCACTTACCTGCTCTTCCGGTCTCTCAGTAATGTGATTAATAATGCGACGTTGTAACAAATAAGTCGCAACTAGTAAATAAGTCGAATGCTAATTCGGAAAACTCTGCTCCGAATTTTGTATAAAATAAAAAAAAAAACAATTGCTTTCTTTGGGCATGTAAAAAGTCTCGACATGTGAAGAGGAAAAATATCCCTCTCGACTCCCCCTCCCCCAATGTCCAATTCGAGCACAGAACTTCGAGATATTATACGAATTCCGAATTGCAAAACAAACCAAATAAAAAAATTAATAAATAAAAAAACAAACAGCCAAATGCGGCCAAAGCAAAATGCGGCAAGCATACACCGTGCAACAACATCGCCAAGCATGCACAAGCAAAACTGATTTGATATTGATAAGCAGAATGATGATGTGTTTTTCGAACGAAATAAGCAAATAGAGTTAAATAATTCGATCGGTTAATAAATAATTGAGTTTCTTATAAATTATAGAGTTACAGCTACGTAAAATTGTATTTGGCAATCACAAAATAAATGACAGTCATACAAAAGATATATACATTTAGTGACAAAGAGTAACGAGAAACAATTTTTTTTTTCCCTCGCGAATGAGATTAAAAAAGTGAACTTGCGTGGCGCAAAACAACACGATTGTGAAGTTTCACGTTTCTTGTTGTCACAAAAATAGCTGCTAGTAAAAAACTATTCTGAGGAAACTTGCGGCGTTTAACGTAAAGACAAACTTGTTACAAACAAGTTGCTCTTGCGAATTGATTTTTTCATTACAGATATTATTAACCAAAAGTTTCTTCGTAAAATAGTTTTGCGCTACTAATGTAAGCGAAAGTAAAACTATAGCTACTCGTGTACGATAACGTCTAAGAGTACCATACAAATACTGACCATCTTGGTCTTCATGCAGAGTAGAATACATGGAATGGATGGAGTCCAGCTTTCGCTTGATTCCGCGGCCGAGGGCATGTTCCCTGCCCTCGCACCTCACCGTGCTCACCACACCTTCGGCTTGCTTCAACGTCTCTGACGTATAGATCTGTCAAATACAACTCGATCAACTCAGGCACAAGCCTACCAAATCGCATGCTAATATCATTTCAATGTCATTCACTGCTGATGTGAAAATGTATATTTTTTCATTTTTAAATCCCGTTTCGTGTGCGTGGACTCACAAGGGCTTCGTGGTTTTCTCTCGACCGAGTATCGGAGACACGGAAAATGATTTTTTGCAAGAATCTAATTTGATGTATAAGCAAAACATAAAGTATCAAAAAAAAAAAAAACGTAACAAATAAAATATTAGAAAAATAAATAACAATCTAAAATTTCTCGTACTTTTGCGAATGTCTCCGATGCTTGTAATAAGAATAATTACGCGACAAAAAAATTTGATTCATCAGTGCATGCAAATGATACCAAAAGAGACAAACTCAAACTCTGTTTACGCATGCTTACGTTGCAAAGGTATTTGTTTTTTGTTTTTCATCAGGTGTGTATTCAGAATCATAACTTTTGTCAGAAGAATATATTTAGAAAAAATTTATTTTTTTCTCGATGTTATATAAAACGAAGTAAAAAGGTGATTTTCCTGATTCTTCCTGATTAATTAACACACGAGTAATAATAATAATAATAATTAATAATAATAATAATACAATTACATTATTGCAATATAAAATTTAAATAATAACGCTACCGGTAAACGAGTGTACGTCATATTTTACGCAATAAAAATTGCGGATGTTAAAAATGATTAACGTTAAATACAAACTAATTACAAACTTAATAATATTAAACGTATAACCAATCGCAATCTAATAATGCCACTGCGTCTGTTTCATTTTTTGTTTTTTTAATGTACAAATTAATCAATTAAGAGACCCGCGCGAAAAGAAAGCCGTAATCACTACTCGTCCGACGACGAGTCACTCTCCTCAGCGTCATCGCCTTCTTGCGCATACACGAATTGATGATTATAAACATATGGATTAATGTAGGCTTGCTTATTAGGCGTTGTGTAATTGACAACAGCGACGCCATCAGGATCAGATCTGTAATTGTACAAATGGGGATACAGGCCCGATGGCGCCATGCCGACATTGACGAATTTTTGCGGATAACCGACATTTTGCGGGCAATAAGGTACACCGGTATTGTATCGTTCCAATGACTTCTCCTCGGAATTTTGATCGACCTCATCTTGTTCCATGACATGTTGCACGAGCTGATTATCGACGCGATTAGTAACGGCGCACGGTTTGTTGTTGAGTTTGTTATTAACATGCGGCATCATGGTGTAATGCGCGTGATCTGGCACTAAGGTTTGCTGTCGATACGAAACGTTCGCATTGGGAACATAGTGCTGGCTATGATAGAGGAATGGCTGATAATGACCATGACCTATAATAGGCAACGGATTGACCTCGAAATTCTCCGAATAGGAAACGTCCGTCATTTCTTTACTGACGCTTAGCTGATCTTCCACGGTAGAGTGGTCCACAGTGTCAGAATTAATGGAATGATTTGGTGATGATGTGTCCATATGCTCCTGTGAGTCAGCGTATGTGTTTTCTGGGTGTGTCGTATCGGCCGGCTGGTGCATGTCTATTACAGTTAGATGACTGTTGACCTGCTCTACGTGGGTACCAACCTGGATCCCAGTGGTCACCGTCGATTCCACATAGGTCTTTCCGTGCAAGCTCGGCTGATTCAACGTGATCTCCTTGGTGGCGACACTCTGCATTCTCCAATCCTCCGATGCTACCTGCGCATCGCCCGAGTCTGGCTCGCTACTCGACACGCAGTGAACCATCGGCTGAAAATATATTACGCATTGTACGATAATTAGTACGAGTGATCATGTTATTTCTTGAAGAATAAACTTTGTGGATCGTGAACACAAAAACCTAAATAACCACGAGAACTTTGGTTTTAAGCAAGAAGCATAACGTCGAACAAATTCTTTCTTCAAATCATTCTTTTCTCTCACCGTTGATGATGAGTGATGTCTAGCGGTGATCGGAGGTGCTGGCGAAGCTGCACCGTGCGTAGTGGTATCCACAGCCGGACTATTGGACCTCTGACTATTTCCTGGACTATGAGTGGTAGTGTCGGGAGGCGATCCTTGCCGCATCATTGTCGATTGCGCCACATTCGTTTGATTGCCTGCCGTTTGTGTCGATACAGAATGCCTCGCCATAAGCGGACTGTGCTGTTCATTCTGTTGAGCCGTTTTTTCCATGACGGTTGTACTACTAGTGGCGAGCACGTACTGTTGTTGCTCGACGTTTTGATCCGACGACGGTGAATTAACATCACTCTTAGGAGAGGATGACGCCGCTTTTCCCTGAATTACACCGGAACTCAGAATGTACGACTGATTGTGATCGAGATTTAATGAGGGATCGACAGCTTGTCCGCCGTTAGAAGGTGTATTTTGAAAATTTGGTATCTGATTGTTGGAGACCATGGTTGTCTGTTGCTGCACAATCGTCGTGTTTTGCTGAACAAAAGTTGTGTTCTGCTGATTCGATGCCGAAGAAACGGCTATATTTTGCGCGGTGCCGCAAGGTACCATTAGGGTTTGTCCGTTCATCTGTATGAATTCTTGCTGGCCCTGCATGCTCGGCGGTCTCACTTGCGAGGTGTTAAACGTCACTTGTTGACTCGGACTGACATTCGCCACTATTGGGCTCAACTGATTTCCAAAAGACGTCGTTCCGTTTACCAGAAATTGACCGCTATTCGGCGAGAGAAACTGCGCTCCCGGACTGTGCTGTTGAATGATCTTCCCGCCGGTTGCTTGTGGCGCTCGTATGACCATACCAGCTGGTCCGGCAGCCAGAATGCTTTGACTCGGATTAAATATTCCACCGTGGCTCTGTACTGGCGTCAGCACATTTTGTCCGTTGACGTTCTGTATTTGAAGCTGCATTCCGATATTACCCGTGTCTTGCAGTAACGTAGCCGTTCCATCAGCGGACATAACCATGCTACCTAAACCAGGCACAATAAACTGCTGGATAGTAGGAAAGTTCTGCACCATTCCGGTCGCTCCGTTCAACAAGTTCACCGGTTGCAGGAGATTTATTTGTTGAGCCGGTTGAGGATTTGTGATTATTTGTTGGGTATTAAATTGTGCGGATGCTGCGCCAGTCTGACCGTTCATAACCAGCTGTGCCGGTGCTCCGCCTTTGCCAGGCACGATAGTTAACGCTTGGAGCATAGGTCCGCCTATGCTTTGAGCCTGAAAGTTTTGTTGAGCGAAGTTTGACTGCGACTGCATCAACATTCCGGCATTCTGCTGGGACGACGCAATGTGCAACATTGATGCTACAGTTTGCGGATTCGCTTTTCGTTTCTTGTACGCCTTCTTCTTAGTTATCGCCGACTCCGGTGACAACAACGCTGGCTGTCGATTCATCGTCATGCCTTGATTGGCGCTAACGGTTCTGGACACGTCTTGATTCGCATCGAGAATCGACTGGGTGTTCTGAATAACGTTGCCAGTGGCAACTGTCAGATGCGGTATCTGCACATTCTGACTTATGCCGTCCATCGTCATCACACCGGGTTGGATCAACACTGGAGTTTGAATGGTGTTCACGAGCACTGTGGGTTGTCCTATAACCTGCTGAGCTACGCCTACTGCGGGGATGACTTGGCTGACGGCTCCAGTTACACTGGTAACCATCGGCGACACCGACAGCGGTGGCATAGAATTGGCGTTGGAGATGATCTTTGGTGGAGGAGGCGCCATTACGCCATTAATAGCCGATCCAGTGCTAGCCATTATAAGCTGACCGCCACTGGAAACCAATATATGACCGGGCGGTAGCGTCGATCCGGCAGAATGTTTTAATATTCCACCGGAAGTAAGAACGTTGTGGACTTGGACGTTGGCCTGAGGATGTTGTTGTTGTTGTTGTTGTTGTTGTTGTTGTTGTTGTTGTTGCTGCTGCTGCTGTTGTTGTTGTTGCTGCTGATGCTGCTGCTGCTGGTGCTGTTGTTGTTGTTGCTGCTGCTGCTGCTGAGGTTGCGGTTGCATCGGCGAATTTGTGCTCGCTTGAGGTACTTGTATACTGCTAACAACGCTTTGGACCATTTCAAGCGGAGATTTCGACACGCTTATCGTCGTAGATTGACTATGTGTGATAGAAGAGTGAGTGGTAACCGGAGTTCCCGGTACTGCCGCAGGTTGTGCCTGATGCTGTGGTTTACTCGGCAAAAGATTCGGTAAAGCAGGATTCGGTATCGCAGATGGTGTATTTATGGAAACAGTAGCAGTGTTGGCTTTCCCAGCTAGAACAGATGTGATCGTGTTACTGCTGACTGTATGACCGCTCGCCATAGTTGTTATTACAGATGACGTTCCAAAAGTATTCATAGATATCCTAGAAACAGCATTAACGGTATGTGGATGAGGTTGATATCCATCCAAAGAGTTTTGTCTAGTTGTTATTTGCCGTTTCACTTGAGATGTTAAATTGTCCGAACTAGAGGACGTTTGAGACGGCGAGGTGCTGGGTGGAATACCATTGGAACTCATTGTACTAGAATTAGGAGTATCAGATCTTTGTTCCTGAATGCCACTAGGCATCAGAGATTGCGATGGCTGTTGTTGCGCTTGCGAAGTTGCCGTTTGCTGTGGCATCTGACCTGATGTGAATGAGTGAGGCGTCGGCGGTTGCGAATAACTATGCGGTGTCGCAGGTTGTGACGAGATGAGACTCTGCGGGGTCGCCGGTTGCGAGATCCCCGGCGTCGAAGCTGCCGGTGTGTCTGAATTGGCAGGACTATTCGTACCGATGGGAGATCCGTGACTAGTGCTCACAGTACCACCTTGTATCGGTCTGGAATCAGTCTGTTGTTGATTGTTGTTCGTTTGGTATCGTTCGCCGAATGTCGACGAGGTCACAGGATCTTCACGTTGATCCGTGTGCATCAGGTACTGCCGCTGCATCTGCTGCTGTTTATACTGATCCTGAATGTAGGACTGAGTGTCGGCGCTCGTGACGCAGCCTTGACACGGGCTGTTTTCGGAATCGGTGCCGCTGGTGCTTGACGTCGGTGTCATACTGCTGTGTACGACAACAGGCGAGGTCGCGTGATTCTTTACGGAAGTGAACGACGAGGTACTTGTGGGACTGGCGATAGAGGAAGGCTTTGGTTGAGGAAGATAGGTGGCATTGTTAGGCACGTGCATGCCATGATTCGTCTGAGACGATGATTTCGGATTGTTGTTCAATATATTCATTTGAGAACTACTGACACCGGTTTGCCTCGATATTGTGCTGTTCAGCAGCGCTGTTTGTTGGGCGAGGTATCCACTAGGATCCTCTAGGAACGAAGGACCGCTGCTGTTGAACGTTGAACCTATCTGGCCGTTATTTTGTTGATTCTTTTCATTGAATTCGTCAACCGGACTTGGTGTCGAGTGCTCCAGTCCGTTGTTCGTTCTCGACGATTCCGCAACACTGTGTTGTCGCTGCTTTTTAACTATTATCTTAGTCGACTTAGCCTTCTTCCGTGCAGTCTCGTCCGTCCAGGTCGAAGCCTGTGGAATGTGATGATGAAGAGGTGGCACACGATCGAACGAATTAATGTTCTGCACCGTGACAAGAGATGGCTGATGAGACACGGCCGCGGTGCGATTTTGCTGCCACGGTGGAGTTCTGTTGTTGAAATGCATATTACCGGGTTGCCCGTTTGGTCCCATACCAGACTGCTGCGCCTCAACGACGTGACTGGCGTTCGGGCTTCTTCCCGTGTGATTGGACAAAACAAACTGTTGTTGATGTCCCATTTTAGCGTCCGCGTTCGTTCCTTTCGAAGGATCGAAGTTTCTCACCGGATATTGGACTTGGTTCTGCGCGTACATTCGCTGAACGTTCTCGTGTGGATTGTTCGATAAGCCACCATTCTGAACCACGTGATGTCGTTGCATCGAATGATTATTTAACAAAAGTTGTTGTTGTTGTTGTTGTTGTTGTTGTTGCTGCTGTTGTTGTTGTTGCTGCTGCTGCTGCTGTTGTTGTTGCTGCTGCTGCTGTTGTTGCTGTTGTAATTGTTTTGCGTTGAGATCTTCGTCAGTAACCGATGGTGTTCGATTGTGTCTGTTTTGAATATCGGTATTGATGGTCATGCCAGCGGAACCAGATTGTTGCTGCATCACATCTACAGAGTGATGGTTGAGCTGTTGATTTGAATACTGCGGTTGAATGCACACTTGAGACAGTTGCTGCTGATGCTGATGCTGCTGTTGCTGCTGAATCTGCATTTGGAAAGGATCTGTCGTATGAGGCTGTATAGAATGCTGGTTCTGTGCTACGTGCTGCGGCTGTTGTTGCTGCATTTGATGCTGATGAAGTTGATGCAACTGCGAATGGAGAGTGTTCTGATTCGGCACTTGCGACTGCACGTGATGCACATAATTTTCAGTCGGATGTTGAGTGTTATAAGTCGCCGACTGTTGTTGATCCACTTCCTGTGCTAAGTGCTGCTGCTGTATGTTGTGTTTTTGAATCTGCTGCAGATGCAGCTGCTGTTGTTGTTGCTGTTGTTGCTGCTGATTCAAGTGCTGCTGCTGTTGCTGCATCACGTGCAATGACTGCTGATTCAGCTGATTGATGTAATGAGAAGCTTGCTGCGGTGCCAATTGATTGACTACGGAGTTCTGATGTTGCTGTTGTTCTTGTTGCTGTTGCAAAATCTGCATGTGCTGCAGCTGCTGTTGATGTGGCAGCAGCTGCTGCGTTTGTTGTTGTTGCGATATATGTTGTTGAATGAGCTGTTGTTGTTGCTGCTGCTGTTGTTGTTGCAAAACCAATTGTTGATGTTGCTGTTGTAAAAGCTGCTGCTGCTGCTGAGTCATATTGTTGAAATTTGTACCTTGCTGATTCATTATCAGCGGATTGTTCATCAGCATGCCCGACATATTATGTTGATTTAGCCTCTGCTGAGGATTTCTCGCACAACTGTTCACATCGTGGTTCTGAGAAGGCGAATTTAAAGATTGATGGCAGATTTGTTGTCCGTTCTGTTGGACTTGCAGATTCGGGATCGCGATTGGCCATACCTAAAAGGTAACAATAATTATATGTAAATGGTAAATATTCAATACAATATATACGCATATAATGTTATTTAAACAAATAAGTAAAATTAAATTTGTTTGTAATTTATTACACAACAAAATTAATAGAGATATTATGTGTTGCTTGTAATGCATTACAAAATAAGCAGTGTAGGAAATAACAACATAAATTCTCGACCCGGGAAAGGAGAATTCCATAATTTGGGATTCAATTAAAGCCACGATTCAATTACCTGCGATCCATTAGGCACCGGTGAACCTTGAACTCCAGATGCCGCGACCGCGATAGCTCTTTCCCGTTGTGCCAGAAGTTGCGAAACCGAGACGCCGGAATAAATGCCGCCTATGCCGTTCAGTTTCCTCTTCTTCTTCTTGCTGAGTCCATCTGCGAACACCAATAAAGTATCTCTTAATAAACCAGAACCGGAATCCAATTATCTTCGATTCGCCAGCATCTACTTGAAATTGAATCGACAAAGGCTTTCCCCGTTCGAAGCGCAATTGTGGAAAAACGATAAAGTCCCCGGCGCTGTAGAAATTAAAATACGACTTATTCGTCCTAGTCCCGCGCGCCGCTGGCTTTTTCCCTTATTATTCAAGCGACGTTCCAAGCTCCTTAATGAAGCAAGTGTTCCATTTGAAATCCCGCCGCAAGGTTAAATCGTATTTAGCCCGACATTTCCGTGTTTTAACTCTCCACTTTTTAAAACGTCGGCCTTTCTCTCGGTCTGTATTATCATTCCGGAAAATGTCTTTCACGAGATAAAAATATTCGTTGATAATAGAACACGTAGAGAGCTATATTAAAAATTTAATTTTAATTAAACACTAAATGAATTAAATTATTGTATAAGTAATTAAAGGTAAAAACTTTTGTTTTTTTAATATATGTAAGTTTTATAATATTTTTATAAATCGAGCGTTTATAATCAAATCCATAATTGATTAAACTAATTAATTGCTTAACATCGAAAAAGTGAAAGACATACGAGAATGTTGAAACTTGTTTATATTTAGCCTCAATATAATCGTAAAAAATACTTAATTATACAACAAAATAGATTGGATAAATTTATGTAATGCTTTTGAACGTTATCGTCATCGTTTCGAATCTAAAGTGGAAGAACTGCCGCAAGGCCATCGACACTTACGAATTACCGTGATTTACGAGAAACGTGTTGGAGAAGAGGGGAGGAGAGCTAAGGTTTCCAGCGGGGCGACAGGCTTAAAGGGATCCTTTTATCTGTAAGCTTACAGAGAATAATTATTCTCCATGCTCACCCTATTGGCGCGAGGAAGAGTAACTCTCTCTCGGCAAAGAGGAAACAAGAGGGAATTCATGAAAAGGACGCGAGAAGCGAAAGTAAAGGAGAAGGGTGAGTGCAATAATGAATCTATGGGTGGCGGTAAGGCAACTTGTCCGTTCTGACGCGCGACGGCAGTTTAACCCGATTTCCACGGCGGGTGGGAGGGACGGAAGATTTGCGTAAAATCTTTGGATCCATTTTGTGGCTTCCGAGGGTTTTCGCGTGAACGCGTAAAGTCTCCCCCGCCAGTCATCTACTTGGAATGCCTGCAGGCAATGGCTCGAGCAATAAATGTTCTCGTCGTTAAACCCGATGAAAGAGGGCGACGTAGTAATTGGAAGATACGGCTCGTCGTTTGCGGCTGTTTTCAACCCGCCACGGCGGCGGTTCGATTAAATACGAGAAATATCTTCGTATTGCTGGACTCGCTCGTGACAAATGACGAAACTCCATTTTATTTAAAGTAGATTTTGCGAAAACTCACTGGTGTAAGTGAAAATATCGTTTCTACCCATTCCCTTGAATCGCGATCCAGAATTGATGTTATTTAATTATACGTAACGCGGTGTAATCACTTTGCAATAAGATCTCTCGTAAATTATACGATTAATAAGAAAATTGCGATCACACTAAAATAAATGACTCCGCAAGCAAATTTATTGCGGTACATTTCGTAATACGGAACGGTACATGAGATTGCGTGTAAGATCAAGCAATAGGTTTTCGATAGCAATTAGTGCGGCTTGATTTAGCTTGAATTGGAGGCAAAACGCACCTACGAAGGTGACATTCGTGATCTCGCGGGACAAATTCACTCTCCATCGGTCTCACTGACGAGGCACCATCAATAGCAGCAAACGCTGGTGGCATCGTCGGTGCTTTAACAACGTCTACGGCCGTCAGGCAGCTCGACGGGTGGCGCGGATTTACGCTTTAGCGATCTCGACCGTAAATGACTCTCTTCAGTGTGTTCATGAAAATCCGTCGGCAATCGTAGACGCCGTCACGCCGAGGCGTTGATGCGGACTGAGCGGAGTACGATCGAAATGCGCTTGCGCGACCGACGGAAGCGAATGTGAGAGTGGCCCAGAGGTGAAACAGAGAGAAGAATAAGGACCCTCCGCCGACGAAACGGACGTCACTCTCGGGGCAGGCGCAAGAATCACAACCGGACACAGTCGTTGGACCGCAAAGGCAGTTTCCCTCTCTCTCTCGTTTCCCATGCGCGCTTCTCGTACGAAATTAACCCTTATCAACTCCGTGTCTACCACCACCACTACCATCACCGCCGTTTCTCTCCTCACACAATCCCCACCTCGGCTTCTCTTTCATCCCCTTCCTTGTCGTATCCACCTCCGCCGCGTCATCCTCCTCGTCGTTGTCGTCGTCGTCGTCGTCGTCATCGTCGTCGTCGCCGCTGGCAGCGAAGGGAGAGCGGATTCTTTCCTCCTCCCGAGACTTTATTGATCGCCGCAACGATAAGAAGGCACGAGCCGGCCGATTGGTCTGGGGATATGGCCGCGCAGCGATCTCGGCACGACAAATGTAATCGGCAGGAAATGCCTTCCGTGATTGCTTTTCTCTCTCAATGCTTTTTTATGCTAGATACTAATATCCGTGATATTATATTACGCTTCTCCTCCGAATCTTTTGCATAATCGAATGCAAGATGGGATTTTACAATTTCATGTGTGCGCAACGTTGATTTTAAAATGATCTAGTTTTCTTTTGCGTGATTATACAGCTTTCTTAATAAACGTGAGATATATTTCTGTTAAAGATGATCCCTTTTCAGATAGACGATGTTTGTTCCGCTTCAACCCGGCGCACAAGCCTACCTTCTTAAGGTGATTATTTTTCTCGGGGATCGCACCCTATGTAAACACACTTCTTTTAGGAAAGAATAGCCCCAACAGACCACCGGTAGACGATGGAGTTAATCTATTTGTACGATGCGATACCCTCAATCGACATACGAAAGCAAACACACTAGGCGCGTGGCCGACAGAAGTGTGGTTTTGAAAAATTCGCTACCTGCAGCGAAATCCCTGGTAGCCGCCGCCAGCTTGGCAAGAGAATGAATTGGCGTTTGTTACCCGTAAAATCGCTTTCCCCACTGTTCTGGAAGTCGCCGTATAACTGTCACGTATTACGTCGAGGACAAAAGTGATCGATCGAGCTCCAGAGGAAACTTGTTTGCGGGGAAAATTGTTTCGCGCGTGACAAAAGATAGCGTACATAAAAACCGCGTCCCAGATTTGGATGCGCGAAATTGAGGAAGCCGTAAATAAAAATCGCAATAATTTTCAATTTTAATTTCGCGCGACACGTGAATGTAAATATATTTTTTTTGTTTTTGGAAAACAAATTTAATTAATGTCATCGTAATTAATTCGAATTGCTATTGTTATGTAAATGCAAAGGTTTCTTGAATACGAAAAAGTCAAACCGCTGCGAACAATTGCTTTAAAACGTTTGTTTAAAAAAGTTGCTCGAAGTTTGATTCGGTACTCAGTCAAAAGTAATAGAACTTGAAGTGTTACGACGATTATCGTATTGTTAAACATTTACACGGGCTCCTCGCTTCGAGGAACCGCGATTTCCATCTCGCTCCCGTGAATCGATCAAACCGAAAGAGGAGCTTAATCATTTCTACTCCCCGTGCGCTATGTAATCCATCGTACACGAGAGAAGAAGACCCCCGTCCTTTTTTTAAGCCGGCAAAGTCAAACTGAAAATCAGAAAAAGGGGGAATTAAATCGGCTCCCAGCGGGGGTGAGGGCGCGTTATGAAAACTCGGAGCTCGACGTTCGACGATAAAGATTCATTCGAGCCTCTCTCCATTTATTCCCTTTGCCGTTCTTTTTCCCTGCTGTGTGGGGTGTATGTTTGAGCAGAGCGCGAGTGCGCGACAACCCCCCCGAGAACGCGGAGAGAAGAAAGTCGGCAAAGAGAGGGAGGAAAGTCAACTCTCTCTCCCGCATCCAGAGCGTGTCGTTTTATATCACCGGAGAATTGGAATCGAAGCGGCGCGAGAGCGTGCGTCGATGTTAAAACGACCCCATAAAGTCCCATAAAAACACTGCCAGCGACGTGTACGTATTCCCCTTACACATCGGCGCGCCGTAAAGTCCACACCTCACACATCTCGTACACAAGTTCTAAACTTCAGCTCTAGATTTTTTAGACGCAAGCGCAAAATTACCGCCCTACCTTCCGCGTCCGTGCATCGAAATGCATCGCGCTAATCTATTTACGAGGTCGAGCGAACGCGGCGAATTGATCTATTTTTATTGCTGAAAATATCCATCGCGATAGGAAAAATTGGCTCTAAAAAGCAGAAAGAGAGAGGTAAAAATGTGTATTACATTTTATATATATATATATATAGTATGAAAATTATAAATATATTAATTTTAATGTTTAATATCGCGACGTAAATGCAATATTTCCTCTTTAACGTTTATCATAAATACATCGTCCTCATGTTCGAATAATTCAAATATCGATGCAGTGTCCCTGAATATAATATTAAAATGCGCAGTTATGATGCTTCGGGGTGAAAGTTTAATAACCGTTGGTCGCCGACGCGGCTTTCAATCTACAAGCGGATTATAATTTCTAGCCAACGCAATTTGGAGTACAGGTACGCCGTTCCAGGAACAGCGGCGTCCTGCAACAGCCGCTTAATTAACGGCGCGGAAGTAAGGAAAAAAGGAAAACGACGAAGGAGGACGAAGGGGGGAAGGAGAAACAGTGCGCGCGGCGGGGATGGGATATACGTCGGTTATGGGATTTGGTAATGAAATTCGGTGGAGAGTTTGGCGGCTACGGTGATATATCATTCCACCCCGCTTCGCGCGATCTCTTCCCCTCTGCCTCTCTTCCCGTCTCCGTCGCGCTTCTCCCGAGCTTTAATGGCAACGTGGCGGGCGAAGAAAGGACGATCCCGAAACGGCGGGATGAAGCTGGAGTGGTCGGGTGAGCCCGACTTCCCTAATGCCGCAATTTCGTCGTCCTTCTTCCGCCGTCGACTTTTTTCCCTAATGATCACGGCTCACTTGACAGGGTGGAAAAACTTCTGGTCTTCTTCCAATAAAAGTTGGCACGTGTTCGTCTTCTCCGCCCCTCTTTTCCTTCCTCCCACACAGCACACGACGACGTTAAATAAATGTCGCGGCGATTATGGGTGTCGCTTCGAAAGTTCAAACTTGACAGAAAAGTTTGTTAATATGTTCGATCGATGCGGTGAAAGTTGCGCGAAACTCGCGTCTACGCAAGTTCGACTGTTGCTCGGCAAAGTTTGACTGCTGCAGTCGGCGGGATTATGAAAGCGGATATCGAGCACATATACACTAGATGGATCTTGATTGTGATCGATTGCGAACGCTGTCTAGAAATGCAAAAGAAACTCGAGAAGTTTGAAATAGATGGGTTTTGAGAGGTTTGTGATATATCGCTCCGCGCCCTATTTTATACCATCGCAAATGACTTCCGAATTATTTTCCCGATCGCGATTTTTTCTCTGTCATTTCGCACGACCAACCATCCGAACAAATAAACATAGAGATCCGATTGGTTTTCGGTAGCGTTTTCTCGCGTTCTTACCTTTTCTGGCTTTATCCGGCGACGTGGGCGAGTCGGCGTTCGCGTGAATCGAGGCCGTTGTCGAGCCAGAAGATAAAGTCGACGATGAGACCGCCGGTGTACAGGACGCAACAGGACTGGCGATCGCGGCCGGCAGCAGAAGTTTCCTCTTATGGTTGCAGAGCTTGGTCATCTCCCGCGTCTTGCCCTGATCCGGGCTCCAAGGTCGTGTCGCAACCTGAAACAAGAACGCGCGCACACCGCTTGTTACTCTCGTCCGATCGTATCGCAGCCGGCGTGACCGGCTAACGAGATAACTTCGAGTCATTTTAAAGTCACATAACCAAAATCTCGAATCACATGTCGTTTCACGTTCCTGTTCTCGCACACGTACAAGCGAAGTTTAAAAAGAGATTTTAATAACATCAGCAATAAGATTTAATCTTGATATCAATATTATGTGAAATGTGTGTGTGTGCGTGATACATGTTGATAATAACTCACATTTAATTACACTAGAAATGTAGTTTAAATTTATAAAACATTAAAATTCAAAATAATTTATTTTTTTACTTCTTGATTTTTTGATCGCGGATCGCCATAACTGGCGAGTACCGACGCGAGCTGGCGAAACGCGGTCGAGCGAAACGAGCGAAAAGAAGAAGCAGATAAAGAGACACCGGAGTCGGCGGGTCCCGGTTGACGATACTCATAAATCTCACGATCGATGCGCGCGATGTTGCGAGCAAAAGTTATATAAACGCGCCCGAGTTGGAAGGCCGATGCCCGGACTTTTGCCGTGTTACACGTCAACTGTAGAGACGTTATTCGCGGTAATTTACGGCCGCTAACGCGGTGCCATTACGGCGCGTATCGTAAATAAGAATGATGCTGTTCGATTATGGAAGAATATAAAGCGTGCTAAATGTTAATCATCTTTTCCCGAGCGCGATTGCCGCAACCCGTTGAGCGCTTGCGCTTGGCAAGGCGTAAGGAATCACAATTGTTAAACGAAGACGGGAGTCTCAAACAGAGATTGCGGAGAGAACATTATCGCAAATTATGCGTTTTATTTTGTGACAAAAAAAAAAAAAAAAAAAAAAAAACACTAACAAAAAAATTGAAATGTTTTATTTTTTTCCTTAATAAATAAACTAGAATTGGTATTTATTAATGGTAAAAACAACATCTTAATATAAATCAATCCCATTAGTTTTTCGCTCGCTTTATAAAAAAAAAAAAAAAAAAAAAAACTCACTAACTGTACCTCGCTGATGAATATTGCGTTCGTAAAATCTGACACTCGCGTTTGCATATCCGGCATACGACGCGGATTGTCGAGCTTTACGACGTGAATTTGTCACACCTCATCTGAGAAGGAACATGGCAGGTTAATTAAGAACGACCTGAATACAGCGACGAGATTATATGCGTACTCGCGGCGGCGGTCGACCTTGGCGTCGCGAGCTGCCGCCGCGGCCGCCGATGTAATAACGTACAACGGCGGTTAACTCAATCAGAACGTGTTTTCTGCGACTGGTCTATTATTCATTCTCCTTCTCTGGAGCTAGATGCTCATCAGCTCTGATCGTCTTGCCGCGACTAATCGCTCGCCTACCGCGATGTTAAAAAGAAAAGAACCCGCGTCGGAAATATTGCGGATCAATCGGCGATTTCCTTGAGTGACAAAAAGTAAAAAACAGCGAGAGATTATTTACAATTTTCTCTCTCTCTTTTTCTTTGACACAATAAAAAAAAAAAAAAAAATTAAAGATACAAGTGTGATGGTTTCGTACAAAACTATATACTTATTTGTTTAAAAATAAGAGAGTGACAATGGCGTAAAAACTTAATTTATTTAGTTAAAAGACGTCTTTAGGGAACGAAACCACATGCGACAGCGTGTCGTGTGCAAAAAGTCAATTACTTTTTATTCGCGTTCGCCGCCGAACGCGCAATTGCGGTTACGCGTCGAGCTGTCGTACGTTCGCGAGCTGTTTGCATCACTACCTAAATAATCTTCGTCACCGAGAGAGTACACCTGGTTGCCGCTTTCCACGGCATTATTTCCCGTCGCACGCCCGCCCATCGCACACGAGGTAATCACACGGCGACCGGCGCGGCGGAAACCGCGATTTAATCCTTTTTCTCGGACGCAAAATGAGACGCCGCACTGTGGAACAGAAACGACTTTAATACGATAGCTTTTACCCGTTCCTCTACATACCCGCGTGTATATACTCGTGTGTACACCCGTGTACGGAAAAACGCAGAGAAAGAGCGAGCGAGAGAGAAAATTTCTCCCTCTCTCTCTCCCTGTTGATTAGACGATCTCGAAAGGGAAAATAAACTGCACCGCGCGGTGGCTGTAATTACCGCACCAAACGAACCAACTACGGTACACGGTACCGGTTTTACTTGTATAAAACTGTTTTTATATATATAGGTTACCGTATCGCACACGCAAATCTAAATTTTGTTTTAAATCCAAAATTAAATCTCAGAAAAGTGGATAAAAATATGTAAGAAAATGAAGTGTTAATTATAACATAGCTCCTCATCGCCTATTAATCGGGCGGTTCTAAATTAATTCCACTTCGAATTTCTCTCAATGAAATTTAACGCGTAAACGAAACCTCGTTAGAGGTTTAATAAAATCAGGGCGCTAATCATTCGGATGTTCATAAATAATGAACAGAAACGGCATACAAACTGAATTGGAAGAACGTAATTTGCGCGCAATTGCGTGTATCAGTATTTGAATATCGTAAACCGATATGTCCCAATAAATCGCCATAAAATCGAGTATAAAATTTATTTCGATACTCGTTTGCGTTTTTCGTTCTCTCGAGATCGCGCGGATTTATTTTTATCGAATTTCCGCAGCGCGCGCGCGCAAACAACGCTCGGCAACATAATTCGCGAATTTTATTTCGAGAAAGGTAAATCATCGCGTTCCGCCACGTTCGCGACGACTCCGAGATCTCGGGGTCCAATCAGCTCGGCACGCAGAGAGAGACCGTCTCTTCTTCTCTCGCGACACGAACCGCGACCTCGACGTCGTTAAATTAAATTTATGCCAACTCGACGAAGTCCCTCCCGCGCGCGCGCGTGCGTGCGTGCGCTTATGTGCGGTGTATTCGTTTTAACGTTACTGCGCGACATTACACTGAATTAACGTAACAAGGCTATTAGTCCGCGATTTTACGACTTTAATTGTGACAGCGGGACCGACTCTGCTCGGGGTTTGCTCGGAGGCACACAAATTGGCTCTCGAGACAATCACGCGCGGCGGCACGTCCTGCCGTACGTCGTACGTACCTGTCAACCGCGGATAATTAAACGCGCGTACACAGTACCCGTCCGCGTTACGATTGTTCCGCGCATGTAGCAAGGTAACGACGTTCCCAGAGAACGTTGATTGCGCGCGCGGGGAGAGAGAGAGAGGAAATTCTCTCTCTCCACACACATCTGTCTCTTTCCGAGTGCGCAGTCTTTGACTATAGATGTTACACGATGAAATATGTTTAATTTGCCGCAAAAAAAAAAAAAA